ACGGAGATGGTGTAGGTGGTGCTAGGACTGAGTCCACTGATGGAACACCCCAACTCCTCGAGCGACGCGTCAGCGAAGCAAAAGTGCTCTTGAGTCTGCTCCACTGCTCTGGAGGCTTCCCTCGCCAAGGCCTTGTATAGCGTGATGCCATTCATCATGCCCTCCGGCTTCTGCCAACTGACGTAAATGCTGGCAGAGTCGACGCCACCAACGATCATACTACTAGGGGCTGCAATATTATCGAATGAATCTGTTCACTCTTGGTGAAACAGGGCATGTCAAGAATTCAGTTGAAAAATCAATGTGTTCCAAAGCGGTCTGCAACACCGCTCTTAGCCTATTTTAACTGCCCCTGCAGTTTCATTATGCATACACCTTTTTCTAAATTTAAAATGCGCACGACATAAAAGCTGTCAATTAGGCCAACATTTAGGAGATAAGAATGGAAGGTTAATGTGTTACTTGCACATGATGACCAAATTTAACGCTTGGAGCAGCATGAAATGTGATAGAATTCGAAACCCAACATGACACAATCGTCCGTCAATCCACCTTGCTGCATTCTTCCACCGTATCTCAGTGCTAACGTTCAAACTGAGTATGATGGAGGCACATGCTTGGAGCAAAAGGCCACTAGGCGTGCTTTCTCGTTTTTCATCAAGTTGAGTGAAAACAGAATGATACCCCAAGTAGCAAAGGAATACACTCTTCACAAAGACGGATGTCTGAGGATCTGTCTACAGGTTGCTCAATCGACCGACTATAACGCGCACATATCTTGGATGATCGCGAGGCCATTTTGCCAATTTTGTACCGCAAGCATTACATCTAGGGAACACACTAGATGTGCAGCACCTATCTAGGCCCAAAATTTATTAATCAGATGCAAACCTCATCATTGAATCCATTCAAACCGGTCTTCCCTTAACAGATTTGTAAAGGCGACACGAGTAAATCCTTTACGCAGTTAAGTTGTCAAATTAACTGAAATAACATCAAATAATTGGTGAATTTGCTCTCCACTCTCTTCTTTCGCAACATTGCTCCCTAAAAGTGATTCATGGCCACACGCAGATCCCCAAACACACTGCTTACACAACCTAACAAATAATTGACCATGGCAGAAAGCGCCAAAAGAAAGCATGTCAAAATGTTTACTGCCACCACTTTGCTGCTTAAATTGTCTTTTGTGGATATACCAACAAGGTTTATTATTTCGAATACCAGATACCGTCTGTACGTGTGTAAACAACTGACAAATGATGCTGCAGGATTTTTATATTTGTTGCTTAGTCAATTGACATTAAGCAGGAATCTACTTTATTCTTTAACGCGGTTTGAATCACTTTAACGCAGCAGATTATTTAAGTAATTTCAAACTGTTGTTGAAGGGCTGCATGACGTGTCAGTGACAGGGGACTTTAATCAAACACATGTTACAAAACACAAGCAGAGTTTTATGTCAAAGCGGTCCACTTTGGCATACAAATATCACTCGCTGGCAAAACACACTTCACTGCCTTTATTCGACTGCGTGTTTATTTCAATAGGTGTCGGCATAAGTTTGAGCCATCGTGTACTCTTCGGCATTATTCTTATACCTCCTCCTCCTCCTCTTTCTCGTCAATGCTCAACACAGTGCCCATCTGCATTTATCAGGTACAATCCATGCCGCTGACCTCATAAACCACTCTCACCAGACTCTAGGCAAAACTGAGGCACAAAATGTGTAACGAGTTTGCTTTCTTAACACATGTAACTTGCCATTTCCAAATTCAAACTGGTTCGGGTATGCTTTAACCCATCCGTTTACGTGCGTAACTCTTTAGCACCATGCAAAATGCCTAGCTGCGGGTTCAAGTAACCATGTCCATCTTTGTAACACGGAAGTACGAAGGACATTTTTTGTTTTTTAAACAACACAGTTGTGACATTTTTGTAACTTTCGTCGTCAGCGCTTTAAATGGCAATATTATAATTTCCAATTTCACATCATCTTGCAAGGAATTGTGAAATAATAGTACAAATTACACAGAATCAGCTACGCATTGCATCGTGTGACATAGTATATACATGCTAAATAACCAAACAATGACTTTTCAGTGTTCCACTTGACATTTATTTCCACAACTATTGACATGTACTTACGGTTCGGCTTTGTCCATCCGGACGCCACTACATCCTCACTGCACACGGCTGGATCGGTGTCGTTGATGCAGGA